GTACAGGATAGAAATAAGTAAATGTTTTCTGAACCTACAGACTGTTTTTTTTCTAGGTGAGGGAAAAAATGAAAAAAAAAAAATTTTCAGATAAGTTAATCCTAGTTTTAAAATTCTTTATTTTTTTAATTCCTGAGTTGAGCACTGAATCTTTGTGTTAGCTTTGTTTTCCCCTAAAATTATATTAATTTTAAAAAAGTAAAAGAACAAATGGAGCTCTGTCAGTGTGTTCTGGAACAGCATTGCTCTTTTTTTGAAAGGTATTTTAGCTATTTATGCTCGGATTCGAGAACTCACTAAAATTAGGAAATAATTGTATCATCAATACAATTAAACAAATGTTTTAGAGACAAAAAATGAGCCACTGAGATGCTCGAGTTGTCTGTATGCCACGCAAGGCAGTGGTGTACAAGCCTTATGAGCGTTCTGAACTAATATCACTTTTGAAGAAAGTGCATTATAATAATTTCAAGTGAATTTTAAAAGAGTGCCTAAGCAGCTGAAAGGAATTTTTAGGTTCTTAACTCCACAGTACTGTGCCGAAACACTTGACTACTAAGTAACTATGGAATATTTCAAATATAATTCCAGTACAGTGGACCATAAACCAAGCGATCTTCCAAAATATAATTTTCACATTTTCCATAAATGCTGAATCACATCAATGCAAAAATATACAACTCAAAAAAAGCTGTGAATAATATTAATACAGTATCTTTCTTCCCCTATCTTTTCTTCTACTAACAAGCACTTACTTTTTGACACATTTGAGCAAAATATCTGCTCTTCCACAGTGATCTCTGCTGACAAGCCCCTCCATAAAGTGCAGACATGGCCTCTGCAGACTCGGAGATGGCTGTCTTTGGGGAGGCAGCTCCTTACCTGCGAAAGTCAGAAAAGGAGAGAATCGAGGCCCAGAACAAGCCTTTCGATGCCAAGTCATCAGTCTTTGTGGTGCATCCTAAGGAATCCTTTGTGAAAGGAACAATTCAGAGCAGGGAATCAGGGAAGGTCACTGTCAAGACTGAAGGTGGAGAGGTAAGAAACAAGGTTGAAGGGCACCGTTTGACTCCCAGTCTCAGCTTTTACCTGACATACATACATCTCCTTCTTCATCTGACAGACCCTGACCGTGAAGGAAGATCAAATCTTCTCCATGAACCCTCCCAAGTACGATAAAATCGAGGACATGGCCATGATGACCCACCTCCACGAACCCGCTGTGCTGTACAACCTCAAAGAGCGTTATGCAGCCTGGATGATCTACGTAAGTAGCAGCAGCAGTCTTCCTTTGGGTAGCTGGGAGGAACTGCTCTGCCGGGCTGAGTGGAAGCCAACGTGCTGTCTCCCTTCCTGCAGACCTACTCGGGTCTCTTCTGTGTCACTGTCAACCCCTACAAGTGGCTGCCGGTGTACAACCCAGAGGTGGTGTTGGCCTACCGAGGCAAGAAGCGCCAGGAGGCCCCTCCACACATCTTCTCCATCTCTGACAACGCCTATCAGTTCATGCTGACTGGTGAGTGGCTCCATCTGTCTCAGAAGGATTGTACCAGGAAATTCTCTGAAGGCATATTCTGTCTCAGTAAAGTGAGGTGACTTTTTCAAAGCTTTCATGCTTCTGATGCATACATACTGTTGTGCGTTTTACCATCTTGACATAATAGTTTCTATTATTTTAAATGAAAGACACCCCTGCACTCAGGGAGGTGTTTTGGACATTCTTTTTGTTGGTTGGTTAGTTTTTTTAAGTCAAGCTGGCTGCATGGGGTTGAAAACATTAAACTTACTTATGTTTTATTCTTTTTTTGTTGTTCATTGAGTTTAAGTATTGTATTTCTGCCTCATTCACAGATCGCGAGAACCAGTCGATCCTGATCACGTATGTACACCCCCTGCTCGGGTCCCTGCAGGGCTGCCCAGTGCCAGGGGACCTCCTGCCTGACCACACGCTCTCTGCTTCTCTCTTTGGTTTCCCAGTGGAGAATCCGGTGCAGGGAAGACTGTGAACACAAAGCGTGTCATCCAGTACTTTGCAACAATTGCAGCCAGTGGGGAGAAGAAGAAGGAGGAGCAGCAGTCAGGCAAAATGCAGGTAAATTTATAGATACTGGCTTGAATCAATGCTTTTCTCAGTTCTTGACATTATGTTTGGAAAGGATAACCAGCAATGATTATCGTCCTGCAGGGAACGCTTGAGGATCAAATCATCAGCGCCAACCCACTGCTGGAGGCTTTTGGAAATGCCAAGACCGTGAGGAACGACAACTCCTCACGCTTTGTAAGTTGCTTAACTAAATGATTAATGAAAAATAGTAAACAGCAGTGTATGGCAGTCATTCTGTTCTGTTGTTCAGCCATCATGTTTTCAAGAGTAAGACTGAATTTTCTTTTTATGACTTTACCTCTTATCCTAAAGGTAATTCTCCAGTTTCCAAAAACAGTGATTCTATGATAAAAATTAATTCTGCTTTGCATTGATATGCCAATTAAAATAACAGATTACATGCTTTTTTCTGTGATCATGTATTGCAGCATTAAACAATAGGGTTTTTTTTGTTTTACTTACATTTCTGTTTCTTTGCTAAATGACAGACAGAAAGAAAGAATGCCAGGAAGAAAAGGAGAGAGGTTATGGAAGAGAGAAAGAGAGAGATAGACAAAGAAAAAGAAGAATGAAAGTAGGAGAGAGAATGAAAGAGAGGAAGAAAGAAAGGGAAGGAAACTGACAGGGTGGTGAGAGAGAGAGTTTCTAATGGAATAATATGTTTGCTTATGTCAAATTTAATTTAAGTGAAAAGGCTTATTTGACAGCAAGACAGATTTAAGGAGCTGAGCTAGTTAAATGGCTATTTCCATGTCGTTAAAATGACTGATCTCTGTATTCCAGACATAATTAGAAGAGTTTGGCTAATGAAATCCACCCATTCCTTCCCATTTGTACATTGAGCATACATACAATGTACCGTGTGCCAATGTTGATTATTTTAATGGTCAAAAATGTAAAAGGAAACTTTATGTCAATGGTGGAAATATAACTAATTCATAAGAAAATGTAGAAATCTTGTGCCCAGCGAAGTAAAGGCAAAACTCTGAATTTCAGGTACATTTTTATGGTGCAAATCTTAAGGCATTTTTATTCCTTTAAAGGGCAAATTCATCAGAATTCACTTCGGTGCCACAGGAAAACTAGCTTCTGCTGATATTGAAACATGTAAGGCACTTTCCTGAACTGTTCACCATGGATCCATTCACCTATCTATCCAGATAACACCCTTTCCCCCAAGTATCCTACCTTCCACCTTTTTCTTCCCATCTTCTCCCTTCTATATTTTTTGTTGTTTCTTGATGTTTCTAATTAAATTTTCCCTCCAGATCTGCTGGAGAAGTCCAGAGTCACTTTCCAGCTCAAGGCAGAAAGAAGCTACCACATATTTTATCAGATCATGTCCAACAAGAAGCCAGAGCTAATAGGTAGGAAGAGTGACTAACCTGGAAGAAGATTGCTGAGCACCACCTCACACTGTTACTTGCTTGACTAAACTAAGCCTGCGTGTCCCTTGTTCTTACTTTCAGACATGCTCCTCATCACCACCAACCCATATGACTATCACTTTGTGAGTCAAGGTGAGATCACTGTTGCCAGCATTAATGACCAGGAGGAGCTGATGGCTACAGATGTAAGTAACAATTTAACAAGTTGTACCTATTGTCATCTCTCCCAGATAAAGCTTTTATTTTATTGTTCCTGTTGCAGAGTGCCATTGACATCCTGGGCTTCACTGCTGATGAGAAAACAGCCATTTACAAGCTGACAGGGGCTGTCATGCACTATGGGAACCTGAAGTTCAAACAGAAACAACGAGAGGAGCAGGCAGAGCCCGATGGCACAGAAGGTATCATCAAAGTCTCTGGTTGACCTGCTAGAATAGAAGTATAAGTAATAATTCCGTATTTGGAAGATGGAGAAAGAGAACAGTGGAAATGCGTGAAAAAGTGTTTGGGTAGAGCTAGTATATAGGTATGAAACTCCTATCCAAAATATATCCTTTTTTCAATTACTACCTAATCTTTATTTGAAGTATAAAATGCATATGTGTTCCTATTTCTCTCCTGGACTACCACAGTTCTGGAAAGCATAGCCTGCTCAGTGTCCTTATATTAAAGACCCACTGAGAAGAGAAAGATTTTTCAGAAAATATATTTCTGGTTGCCTTTTTAAGGAAAATGGGGGTGTTAAATTTAGTGCTAGAACTTCTCATTCATAAATCACATGTTGTTTAGGAATTTTGCCCAGGTGAAAAGGAAGTTTCTTTCAGTTAGTTTCTTCTCTTTTGGAGACTGAAACCCATTACTGTCAGTGCACAGTAGCATTACTTGAACATCAATCTAAGTGAAACATAGGTACACTATGCTACAGAAAAACTGACTTAGATTTCTACTTCTCAGATGACTTCTTAATCACTTAAATGTTACGTAATGCATATATGGTTTAAAATGACTAAGCCTTGTCTACTTCTTCCAAAGAATGATCTCAGATGTCTAGCTTCAGGACTGAATTTTTAGGTTTTGATCCTGAATGAATGAATGAGCCTGTCTTTCTGCCATAACAAGTCTCCAGAAAGAGGCAATTTTAGTTCTTACCTCTAATTGTGGAATGCATTCCTAGGGTTATAGCTGCTGCCAAAGAATACGGGCAGCCCAAGTAGCTAAGTGTATGTTTTTGATTACACTCAGGTGGCCAATCTGCTAACACTGGTGTTTGGTTGCCAGGGTTATAGATACCAATTAGCTCTGGACTGAAGTGATGAACTTCAGCTTTCAGGATGAATTTTTAACAAATACGTTGTTTCTAGATGCTTCTGTGAAGATTTTTGAAGACACAAATAACATGCAGGTGTACTGCTCTGAAAAGTTTTCAAAACAAAAATTATTTTTGTTTTAATGACTGTTGTGCTTCCTCTGAGATCCAGTAAGCAGAATTTGATCACAAGAGCTGCCTGCCTGCAGCCTTCTTTAGAGTCGGGTGCTTCTCTTCTGTTTGTCCGTACTAATTGTACGAGCGAGTTGGAAATAGCCTTTTATTTTTATCTGTATAACTAAATTTTAGTAATACATGTTGTCATTTGTCATCATAGTTAATTTTTTGAGCACCTAGGTGCCAGCTGGAATGTAATGAATGAAACATGATGGAAACTGATATTTAAACTTGATTTTCTTTTTTTAATCTTTAATTTTAACCTTTAATACATTCAGCATTGCAGTTGCTTTGGAAAGGGTTCATCACTCAAAATGCTGCATGTCTTGTTGGTCGTAATTTTTATGTCTCCTCAGTTGCTGACAAAGCTGCCTACTTGATGGGTCTGAACTCAGCTGACCTGCTCAAAGCCCTCTGCTACCCCCGAGTCAAGGTTGGGAATGAATATGTGACCAAAGGTCAAACTGTGCAGCAGGTAACAGCCAGCTGGTGACCTGGAACCTCTGGCTTGATTCACTCACTTTCTCTGGCTACTATTTTCCTTCTGCTGCATTCTTCTTTGTTTTAGGTGAACAATTCAGTGGGTGCTCTTGCAAAGGCTGTCTATGAGAAGATGTTTTTGTGGATGGTTGTTCGTATCAACCAACAGCTGGATACCAAGCAGCCCAGACAGTACTTCATTGGTGTCCTGGACATTGCTGGCTTTGAGATCTTTGATGTAAGGATTCCAGGTTTGAGGACTGCTCTTGCAGGGGAGATTGCTCTATCAGAAGACTTTCAAGTAATACTCTTCTGAAGGTTTGACATGCTAGTCATTTGCAATTTTCTGGAAAAAAACCCCTTCATTTTCTGTTGTAGCAGAAAGAAAAATCCTGAGAAGCTTCACCAGTAGAAGAACACTTCTGTTGTTTGTGTAGAAGTAGCAAATATAATTTTGTATGTTGTAATATTTTAACAGTTTGAGCTTAATGCTAATGATTAAAAAAACCCCAACATTACAATACTTTTATATAGTCACTTCTAGAGCAAAACTAGGATTTAGAGACACATTGACAAACACGTAACAGATTAAAGATCTGTGAATTGTTTAAAGAACCAAGGAATGAATAGATAAGTGTTTAATCAGAGATATCAACTGTCTAAAAAACTGGAAACCAGGGCATACACCCATCTTTTTGGTTGAAGAAAAAAATGCCAAAGTATGAATTTTAGGAGATGCACTAGCAATATCTCCTCTGGAAAAATTTCCATTTTCATTATGTAGGTATTTCTTTCTGGAGCTGCATATAGGTCCTGCTATGGTGCACTCCTGACAATACAGTTGTGTTTTAAATAGGGAGACTTATAAAGGGTTGAGAATGGTCAAAGTTGTACATGTTGATGATGGATGGTTGTTGGGTTTTATCCACTGGAAGTTTAACAGCCTGGAGCAGCTGTGCATCAACTTCACCAATGAGAAACTGCAACAGTTCTTCAACCACCACATGTTTGTGCTGGAGCAAGAGGAATACAAAAAGGAAGGAATTGAATGGACATTCATTGACTTTGGGATGGACCTGGCTGCCTGCATTGAGCTCATTGAAAAGGTAAATTTTTAATTCAAAATACCTTGTGTTTTCAGAAACTCATTATTTTAAATTAAAAAATGGTTAAATGCTATTTAAAAAGGTCTTTTTCATGGTTCTTTCATTAATTCACTTTTAGTTGTTGAAGCAACTCTTGATCTCTACTATTACTTATTATGCATTAGAGGTATTGCAAAGTCCACAGATAACAGTTGAAGTAATTTCTCACACACCTTCTCTGTGTGAAAGGTATCTCCGCTTGCTTGATTAAAGGATATTTTTTTTCAAAAACATAGAGCAGCTCCCAAAATAAAATAAAAATATTTTATTAAGGTTCTGGAATAAAGTTTTCTGGACAATACATTTTTTTCCCTAGCTGGTTCAAAGTAAAGTGAGTACAAGCCAATACAGTCAGTGACTGACCTTTGAATGCAAGAAACTGTATAAGATTTATTATAGTTCCTTATAATTTAGGGAGTTGATTAAAAGTACAAAAACTTAAGTAAATACACAATTGACACATTCGTGAGAGACATTTTTAAATATAATCTTTCTCTCCTCCTGATTTTTTAACATGGTTTTTGGTATAAAAAACATTCCTGAATCACTGTGCCAGAGTGTGAGTAAAGCACATGAATGTTTTAAACTCAATTCTAGAAAGATATTTGTTTTCATGGCAAGGTTTTTGGTTTGTTCCTCAGCTTCCTGGTTTTTACTATATGCCCTTTAAGACCAAGTCGTGACCATACTATTCTACAGGCATTATCTCTTCTTTATTGTACTATCTTCCAGCCCATGGGCATCTTCTCCATCCTGGAAGAGGAGTGCATGTTCCCCAAGGCAACTGACACCTCTTTCAAGAACAAGCTCTATGACCAGCATCTGGGCAAGTCCAACAACTTCCAGAAGCCCAAGCCTGCCAAAGGCAAGGCTGAGGCCCACTTCTCCCTGGTGCACTATGCTGGCACGGTGGACTACAATATCACTGGCTGGTTGGAGAAGAACAAGGACCCCCTGAATGAAACTGTCATTGGATTGTATCAGAAATCATCTGTGAAGACACTGGCTTTACTTTTTGCCTCCTATGGTGGAGCAGAAATGGGTTAGCTTTCTAAAATTCTTTTTTCCCCCAATATTTATGATATGTACAGAGGCAACAAAAAATAATATTAAAAATTATTTTTGTTTTTCAAGAGGCTAGTGGTGGTGGTGCTGGTGGTGGAAAGAAGGGTGGCAAGAAAAAAGGTTCTTCTTTCCAGACTGTCTCAGCTCTTTTCCGGGTAAAGTATGAATTTCATTATCTGGAAAGCAACATGAACACAGTTTCAAATCTGAGCTATCTGAACTCATGTTCATCTCATGACCTTGGTTTTATAATGAAATAATAATAAGTATGAAGTGAAAAGAAGTTATTCACTGACTTTTCCTAGAAATTATCTGTAGACATTTGGGATTTGTTTCAAGCCGTCTTCAGCTGACCTGCTGAATTTCTTTTGCAAATATTTCAGAATACGGGATGTAATATAAATATTAACCCTAGAAAGGCTTGTTTTAAAATTTTTATGCAGTAGAGTTTTATTTCCTCCAGACTAATGTGCAGAATTTCAAATTTACTTTTAATGAGAATGCTTGAGTATATAGAAGGTTTGATTAAACCTAAATTTTGAATTTGAAAGCTTCTTCCTCCTAAGTTTCATTGTATTAGTTTTTGGCATCTAGGTGCAGAGTATACAGAAGTGAATTTTTTAGATCTAAGCTGTACACATGACCCCACAGGAGAACTTAAACAAGCTGATGACCAATCTACGTAGCCCTCACCCACATTTTGTCCGTTGCATCATCCCAAATGAAACAAAAACACCTGGTAAGAAGCTCAAGCAGAAAGAAAACTTCCTCCAACACAACCATTCCCCTCCACACTGGAAACTGGTATTCATTTATGCCCTGAATTTCTAGGTGCCATGGAGCATGAACTGGTACTTCACCAGCTGCGGTGTAACGGCGTGCTGGAAGGCATCCGAATTTGCAGGAAAGGTTTCCCCAGCAGAGTTCTCTATGCTGACTTCAAACAGAGGTACGAGCACTGCACTTCTCAGCAGCATTGTAAGCGATGTTGGTTCATTCATGTAGGTTAATTCAGGCTGGACTCTGTTGTCAAAAATAACTATATATGAGCTGGTGGGGTTCAGTAGCTAGTGTGTGTTGGTTGTGAAAAATCAGCCTTATCTTCCCCTTATATTATATTCCACAGATACAAGGTGCTAAATGCCA